CCGTGTTTGGGTATGGTTGACTGATGATGTTCAGTAAGCCAGAACTGGAAATTCCGGTCGTTGTGCTGTCAGCAACCCAATTGCCAGCTCCAGTCCACATTTCAATACCCTGATTGCGATTAAGGCGGACGAATTTCGTGTGTGTGAGGATTTGCCTTTTTCTCCCAGTTTATCCTATCCTTTTCGTTTGCAGATAAATACGTTGTGGCAAAGGAAAATCCGGACATGTGCGCATTATGGAATGCGCTCATCATTCTCTACGAGTACTCCAGCTGCCCCGAGAAGGGCCTCGAGCTATCTATCCAACTTCGCAATAACAGCATGTTCGACCTCCTTCGCCTTCGTTTGCCTGGTGCAGATAGCAGTCGATTCGGAGCGGTTGTTCGCCAGAATCTCATCACGTTGTTTGAAATGGATGTCCAAAAGACGATCGGTCTACTGCTGGATGGTATGCGGGAGTTTCCGGTAAATCCATTTTTCACATTTTGATATCAATATTAGGTAAGAGTTCAATTTAGGGTCTCACACGAAAAACCCACCCGTTTTTAATACGGGACAGATAGATGGAGCAAATCAAGTGAAGGAAAAAATAGAAAGTAGAAAATGGTAAGAATACTTGTCTAAATAACCGAATATTCGCTGCGATAATTGAAATGACCCAATTGGACACAATCGTTGACTCTGGATCAACCCTATATTAACTCTGTGTCATCATCTTCGATGTCATTTACCGCACCAACTGTCTTTGTGGTCAAGCCAGTTATGTTGTTGAAATCGACAAACGGGTTCTCGGGAGGTTGCACTAGCACGAACTCGCCGTACGACGGAAGGACAAGCTTTCCTTGGTAGCCGCTCACGCATCAACGCCAGGGCACGGCTTCGACTTAGAACACATGCGAATACTGGGTCAGTCGGACGACCGAAGTGCACGCCTGCTGCAGGAAGCATGACATTCCCGCGCGGATTCAATTTATGAGCAAATCGATCTTCCTGATGCCTATCTCGTGTTGCGCGAACAAGTCGATGGCAGAGGTCAAGGTCTCTCCCGGCAGAGCTGGGTGAAATGTGTATGAGAGTTCGAAACGTCGGAAAAAAAATCGCTGGTCCCAGAGAACGCTTTGTCCTCTTCTCTTCAGTTACCTGGGCCTCGCATGTTCTCGGCCATTCAGAGTTGATATAGAGTCGACGATTGTGTCCATTTTGGCCTTTTTAATTAGCGCGC